CAAGGAAGATAATCATGAACCCTTTACTTCTATAGTTAAAATTAATTAAAATACCCATATGATAGGTTATCGTAAGGAATGTCCCCCATATTCTCTTCAAATTTTATTTCGAACCTTTTAGCAAATAGTGTTGGTAAGCCATCTAAAAATTTAGTTTTCCAATGCGCACTATTAGCGTCTACAAGAGAAATTACTCTACTTAAATAGGTATCTTTATACCATCTGCAATGCGTTAAGTGAAGGACATCTAAAATTTTGTAATATGATCCAAATTTTTTCTCCTTCATCGAGATATGCCCGGGTGAAGTGATGAGCTATAGCTAACATAAAAGCATATACAACATCTACCATTTGGATGCCATTTTCTATTTTTGTAGCATTTAATATTTTATTTTTTGGTTCTACAGATAAATAATTATCCCATCATCCTTTAAGGATGCCAGTAAAGCAACATGTAATATATGAGGCGATCATTTTATCTGTATTATTATTTTGTTTACATATTATACCATACATTAACATTCTATGTATAGTAGCATTTATCTGAGTATCAGATAAACCATCAATATTCTATTCATAAATGTTTTTGTCGTAATAATCAGCTTGTAAATATGCATCATTTTCTTCAAATAATACATCTGCCGGAGTTGGCCTTTTATAATAGTATCTTTCTAGTCTTTTAGACTTGTTTTTAATTTTATTAACATTAGAAAATTGATCTTCTAATGTAATTAATTGTTGTGGAGCTATTTTTCCATCCGATTCAATTTCACTAGTAATAGCTTCTATTTTATCTGCATAGTCATTTTCTTTTCATAAGAACTTTCATCAGTACTAATAACTGACGAAGTAGAAGCTATAGAAGATAGAGTATGCAATTTTGAATTGCTTAATTTATTAGATAGAATATCTATTAAATCAGAAGTTATTTCATTACCGCTTTTAAAGCCTGAAATATCAATAGGTGGTTTTATAGTAGGGTTTTCAAAATTAGATATTGAAATTTTACCTCTGTCAAATATGTTTAAGGTAAAATGTCATTTAATTTTTTGATTAATCTATCAAGAACATCTTCTATTCTAATTAATTGTTTGTCCTACGACTTGAAGATGTACATTTGTATAACTATTTTGTTTAATAATTTTATTTAACTCTTTAAGAGCTTCTTCTTAAGAATCACTAGGCTTTATAAAAGCTGCAGTTTCGAGATTAGTAGTTAAAATTCCTAATCTAGATAGTCTTAAAGGGTCTGTGGGTGGATAAATAGATCTAATAATTGCTCCTGTACCTGATTTTCACTGTTTATAGTGTTCTTCAAGTACCCTTATGTATTTTTCTTGTTTTTGAATATAGTATTTCAAAAACCATGGCACAAAAAAGTCTAATTTTTGTTTTAATTTTAATTCTTTATAATATTTTCTTTAAATTTCAATTGTTCTCATGTAGAGAAAGTTTTGAAAATCTATTTTCTAAAATCTTCATGTTTAGATTCAAAAAATTCTTTATTTAGAAATTTTCGAAAGAGACTTCCTTTTTCAAAATCCATTTATTTCATTTGAAAACTAATTTCAGAATTTGAAGGAGAGAATTTCTCTTCCTTATTATAAATTGCATGTGGTATTTCATTATCAGAAATATTAATTCCCTTTATTTCAGTGGTTCTATAAGAACTTGACCTTAATATAGATCTTCTAGTAGTAGATGTACTAGTGACATCGGATAAACGAATAGTTTTAGATGGATTAAAAGTAATTTCAACTTCACCATCTACCGTTTGAGTAATTTGATCAATATCTTGATTAATTACGGGTTGATGTTAGATTGCATTGGGTATTACCCAACTATCTGGAAAATTTATTTCATCCCATTTAATTTGTTTATTTACTATGACATTTGATGTCAAAACATTAGTTTCTATAAACCGTTTTACCTGGTTTAGAATGGATTAGTTAGAATTTTAAAATGAATTCTGTATATAATAGCTATAGTTTCAGATTTGGATATGAAATTATATCCATGTGTTTTAATATTTAAGCTTATTGCTTTTAGAATATTTGGATTTGTCAAAGTTAGACTTAAATTAAGATAAATATTAAAATAAACTGGACCGTTACATAAACTGGTCTCCATTATTCCCATCAGAGATTAGGCCCAATTAAGACATCTTGCATCTCTTAAACATGTTAATATGGATGCATTTAACCCTTGTAATGTCAAAGGTTTAAAAACTATTTGTATTAACCCTATATAGAGGTATTTATACTTATCCATATATGGTTTTATATCTACTAGTTCAATTAATTGGATAGTTTGTTCATCTCTGTCGACCGTAGTGGTTCTCGTTCAAGAGTTTTAATAGCAATTAGTGATTTATAATCTAAAAATCCTACTTTATAAATGTCTCTATTAGTGATATATATATATATATATAGAGGAATATGGGTATACTTGGGCCAAGGATCATTGGTAGTGATGTGGACACATCTTGTCCATACATCACATATAAAAGCCGTGTCCCCGTATCCTACTTTTTACAAATTTGCCGTGTCCCGTACCTGTACCCGTGCCCATACCTGTACCTGTGCCTATGCAACCTAAGTGTCAGCACATGAATCCGACTTAACTAACGGTTAGATGTTCGTGAGTAAATCCGATCTAACCTCATTTTATCTTACTTTGTTCGTCATTTATTTTATAAAAAATAAAAAAAAGAAAAGATATTGTTCACAAATATTGTTTACTGCTGTTTCAAGTGCTTCTCCGTCCCGCATCATTAATGATGTAGAACAGAAGTAATGATGAATAATGCTTGGGTGAACAAAACCCGTGAACAATAACTTCTCGTTTTTTAATTCTTTTGTTAATAAAAAGGCCAAATAAAGAAAGATAAAAGATAAATAGACTAGACCAAATTTACTCTCGACATCCAACCTCTAAAAACAATTGAAGAGGTCGGTTTCACACACGGACGCCTAATCAAAAAATATGGCTTCACGCCTATAGAATCACTCCAAAACATCTTTTAGAATAATATTTTATTCATTAATTTTTCTTTTCCAAAATGAAACATTACAATCCTTTTTATAGCCATAAAATAAAATCATAATTCTAACTAATTGACAACATTAAATCTAACAAAATAACAAAATCAATAAGATAACAAATCTAACTAAATAATAGATCCAATCCTAAACAAATATCTCAAAATCGTATTCTTAAAAAAAATCTTCACTAAATACGATCTTTTAGATGTCCTACATCAAATCTCATCCTCTTTAAATTTTGACATTCCTGTCGAAAATGCGAACTAAGATTGTAGGCTTCTGCAGTGTCATCACAAAGGCTTTTTCGCTGTAGGACATCTAGAAGATCGTATTAGTTAGGATTTTTTTAAGAATATGATTTTAAGATGTTTGTTTAGGATTGGATCTATCATTTAGTTAGATTTGTTATGTTGTTGGTTTTGTTATTTTGTTAGATTTGATGTTATCAATTAGTTAGGATTATGATTTTATTTTATGACTATAAAATGATTGTAATGTTTCATTTTGGAAAGGGGAAAATTGATGAATAAAATATGAGTTCTAAGAGATGTTTTGGAGTGATTGCATAGGTGTGAAGCCATATTTTTTGATTAGGTGTCCGTGTGTGAAACAAGCCTCTTCAATTGTTTTTAGAGGATAGATGCTGCGAGTGAATCCGGTCTAGCCTATTTATCTTTTATCTTTCTTTATTTGGCTCTTTTATTAACGAAAAAATTAAAAAGTTATTGTTCACGGGTACTGTTCACCCGAGCACTATTCATCATTACTTTTGTTCTGCATCATTTGGTATTAGAGATGAAAGATCCATCTCCATCTTCTTCTCTACAAAAAAAAGAGAAAAAAAGGGATCTACTTCATGATCTCCAGTCATCAACAAAGTCAAACCTTGAGCCTAAGCAAGATAAAAAGCCAGCGTTCGTGATGACACTGCATAAACCTACAATCTCACTTAGCATTTTCGACAAGGATGTCGAATTTAAAGAGGAGGAGATTTGATGTAGGACATCTTCTCGTATTGGTTAGGATTGTTTTTAAGAATATGATTTTGAGATATATGTTTAGATTATTTAGTTAGATTTGTTATTTTGTTGATTTTGTTATTTTGTTAGATTTGATGTTGTCAATTAGTTATGATTATGATTTTATTTTATGGCTATAAACATGATTGTAATGTTTCATCTTGGAAAGAGGAAAATTGATGAATAAAATATGAGTTCTGAGAGATGTTTTGGAGGCGTGAAGCCATATTTTTTTGATTAGGCGTCCGTGTGTCAAACCGTCCTCATCAATTGTTTTTAGAGGTTAGGTGCTATGAGTGAATCCGGTCTAGCTTCTTTATCTTTTATCTTTCTTTGTTTGGCCTTTTTATTGACAAAATAAATTAAAAAAGCGGGAAGTTATTGTTCACGGGTGCTGTTCACCCAAGTACTATTCATCATTACTTCCATTCCGGAGCACAATGTCTCTTAAACACACCTATTTCAAAGGGAAAAAGTCGAACAATATTTGTCAACTTTCTTTCTTAGGTTAAGTTCTCATTCAATTGGCAGATTTATGTATATCCACTATAACTTCATGGTCTCTCTCTCTCTCTCTCTCTCTCTCTCTCTCTCTCTCTCTCTTTTGGTGCTTCTTGAATGAGCTGCTCAGGAAACTCTTTTGTGGAATATATTGTATTGGTCCAGCCAATAGATACCTTTCAGTCTATTTTTCATGGAATTTTACTGTCTTGCATCACCTCATCTTGCTTTTATTTTGTGGAGTATGTTGTCTTGGTCCATCCAGAAATGACTGTACATGCCTGTGAATATTATTTTGACATTACACTGCATTCTTTAGCTACTTTTTACCATGAGTCTTTTGTACTCTGTACATGTAAAACGTATTGTTTCTAGTTTATTTTGGTTTCTGAATCTTTCTGGTCTTTTAGATGACTAGACATCATTATGTTTGCAGGTTGATGTTTTGATGGGAGAGCCATTCTATTATGGGAATGAAGGGATGCTTCCATGGCAAAATTTACGGTTTTGGTCTGTGAACTTTAATAAATTTATTATATTATTTTTCAACAACTATATGATGTGTTGTTTTCTAATTATATTTCTTTCTTGTATAATTTGTCTGATTGTTAACATGATTATTTGTTAAACTTCATTAGAATTTGAAGAGTTTGCATTTGAATAGTGATTTATCTGATCTGTTACATTCCACAGACTTAACTGCTGTTCTTGATTACAGTTGATATTAAATTTTGACTGTAGATATTTGAACTTGCAATGTTCCTCAAATGCACGCCTCTTTATTTTTTTATCACCCATGTTGTAGAATTTATTAAACATTGGATAGTTACAACAGGAGTTGCTGGACTGTAATGAATTAAGGGCCTCTGGGCTTGTCTATTATTGGTTATGTCATTTCTTGTGTAGTTATTCAATGTTTCATAGATTTTATGAGACCACTTATGGAAGAACTCAGACCTAGAAGTGCAGTCTCTTCATTTGTTTCTATCGCCCATGTGGTGAAGTTTATTAAAACATCACATGTCTTATAACAGGAGTATGTTGGAACTCTAATGGGTCAAAGGGCCTCTGGGCTTGTATAGTTTTTGGTTATATGTCATTTCTTGTATAAGCAAATGCAATGCTTTCATTGATCCTTGCCTACATTTTGCACTGTTCTTGGCCAAGTAGTTTACTTCCACAGATTTAATAGTATACTGTACTGGACTTCTGCTAAGGTAATCGTCGTGGTTCATAAAATTCTTCCATATATCAGGCTGTTAAAAACTGAAACAGAATCTGAGCACTTTTCTGCAGCACTTGTATTTTAGCACCTGACTGCGTCTGTATTTCCGCACCTTAATGTTCTATTACAGCAACCAATCACTGGTTACTTTGTGCTCACAGGACAGGTTAAAAGCCTAAGACCCTACGGTCCTCTGTAAATTCAGGGCATAGAAGTAATTGTATGACCAGCTTCATGAAGTGCAGAGCCCATTTGTGGCCTCAAGTGTCCATCTGTTACAGTGGACCACTATGCAATATGCTTTTGCAGCAATTGGCACCTCTTTTTTATAGAAATAGTAAGTATATAGGTTTCAAAGAGAGAGTGATTTCTCCTACAGTTCTTGCAGAGAACAATGCCTGTTCTCGATTTCAATCCAGTGACTGACCTTTTTGCTCTTTTCTGATGTGGTATACTTAATTTGTATCATTCGGCACGGGAAAATCCTGTTATAAAGTTAGCTTGGTGGACTATTCTGTTTTCAGTCCCTAGCATGAATTAATTGGAGATAATTGGGTTATCTCTAGATTCCTGTGCAACAAATGCTAGATATAATCTTGATGCGTGTTTTGTACCTGCACAAGTTATGGTCAAATCTTTTGTATAACTCGGAATATTTTTTTGTCAGAATTGGACCAAATAGAGATCAGTCTGATTCCATTAGGAAGGAGAATTTGAAATGTCATACAATTACTGATCAAAAGAGATCAAGGAATAAATGAAATATCAATTTTTCCTTGGGATATTTCCTCTCACCAAATGGATGAAGAATATATGGAGTCAACCCTGTTCTTGGTGCCTCTGTTGGATCTCCCTAAATTTCCTGGCTATTCACACATGTGCAACACGAATGATTGTCAGCTTCTAAGAGAATTTCTTGGGAATCCTAAAAGATCATTTCATTCCTTTTCTTTCCCTGTAGATTATCAGAATCTATTCTCAGTAAACCACGGTAGTATCTGGTTTTCAGATTTCTTATCCTTCCATATCTTCTTATATAATAAGCTGCAAACCTGTCAATATCCTCAGAACCTACGTTGATAAAAAAGAATTGAAACCCTAATTCATTGCTGTGATAACTTGGACTTATATAGGCCCCTACAAAACACAACTTACAAATAAGTCCATATATATTACTAATATGTCAACACTCCTCCTTAAGATGGGCGAAAGATATCCACTAAGCCCATCTTGTCACATCCTCTAATCATATCTAATGAGCTAAGTCCCTTAGTCAGACAATCTACTGCCTGGTCCTTAGTTGAAACATGACTTAGCTCCAGTAGTCTACTATCCAACTTCTTTTTGATGAAGAACCTATCGATCTCGATGTGTTTGGTTCTATCATGCTGCACTGGGTTGTTGGCGATACTGATAGCTGACTTGTTATTACACCACAATTTCATCTTAGCTCATTGATCCAGCTTTAGCTCCACCAGCATACTCTTCAACCATAGCAACTCAGCAACTCCTAAGGTCATAGCTCTATACTCTGCCTCAGTTGTCGATCTCGCCACCACTGACTGCTTCTTGCTCTTCCACGAGACTAAGTTGCCTCCTATAAAGATGCACCACCACTGACTGCTTCTTGCTCTTCCACGAGACTAAGTTGCCTCCTATAAAGATGCAGTATCCTGAGGACCTCCTGTCATCAGCATAGCTAGCCCAATCAGAGTCGCAGTAACCCTCAATACTCACATGTCCATTCTTTCTGAATATCAGCCCTTTTCCGGGGGCACTCTTCAAATATCTCAGAATCTGGTACACAGTGTCCATATGATCATTCCTCGGATCATGCATGTAGCGGCTCACCACGCTCACTGCAAAAGAGATATCGGGACGTGTGTGACTCAGATAGATCAACCTTCCCACCAGCCTTTGGTATTTGTCACGATCAATTGGTTCTCCATCTTCAGCACCCAGTTTGAACTTCTGGTCGATCGGTGTAGTTACAGGTTTACACCCTAACATCCCTGTCTCTTTGAGAAGATCCAATGCATACTTTCTCTGGGATAGGACAATCGCCTCCGCTCCTCGAGCTATCTCTATTCCAAGAAAGTATCGAAGCAAGCCAAGATCTTTCACCTCGAATTCCTTACCCAGTCTCACTTTGAGTTGGACAATCTCCTTCTCATCATCCCTTGTAATAATCTTATCATCCACATATACCGCAAGCATGGTGATGTGACCTTCATTTCGTCGAAAGAACACGGTATGATCGATGTTAATCTGCTGATACCCTATACCTAGCATAGCCCTCCTGAATCTGTCGAACCAAGCGCGGGGAGACTGTTTCAGCCTATAGAGAGACTTCTTTAATCTGCAGACCTTGCCCACTGTCTGATCCGTGTCGATTCCTGACGGAATTTTCATGTATACCTCTTCCACCAGATCTCCATGAAGAAATGCATTCTTCATATCTAATTGGTGTAGCTTCCATCCATCATTTACTGTCAGAGAAATCAAGGTCCGAACAGTGCTCATCTTCGTCACCGGTGCAAAAGTCTCATCATAATCGATGTCATATGTCTGACTATATCCTTTTACCACCAGACGAGCTTTGTAGCGCTCAACTTGTCCGTCTGGATTCTGCTTCACAGTGAAGACTCACTTGCATCCAACTGCTCTCTTCCCTTTTGGTAGTTTTACTAATTTCTAAGTGCGGTTCTTCTCAAGGGCCCCTAGCTCTTCGTGCATCGTCGTTTTCCACTTTGGGTCTTTCTTAGTAACCTGCTAATTGTTAGGTACAGTAACAGAGTCTAATGATGCAATGAATGCTCCATGTGCAGGATGAATGCTCCATGTGCAGGATGAATGTTAGAATATGATACAAAATGGGCAAGATCCCATTCATATCTATCAGGAGGATTTTCCGTATTACTACGAGTAGTCCTCCGTACTGATATTGGTGTGGGAGGAGTAGGGAGAGGAATGTTAGCACTTTGGGATGAATCTGGTGGTGGTGTTGGTGTCTCAGGAGTCGGGACAGACGTTGGCAAGAGACTTGGCAGCACTAGTAGCACTGTAGGTACTGTTCTTGTAATTTGCTTCTCCTTCCTACTATAGGTTAGTAGCTCCCCCTGAACCGTGGGCCTAACACCTCTTGTCTCATTTTTCTTTTCCTAACACCTCTTGTCTCATTTTTCTTTTCTTCTTCATTCTCCTGCTCCTCCTCAACCAATTCTCCCTCCCAAGGAATTTCTTTTCTTCTTCATTCTCCTGCTCCTCCTCAACCAATTCTCCCTCCCAAGGAATCGATACAGAAATTAATTTCTCCACATTATTCACCGATCTCTCATCATTCTCCTCCTCTCGTCTCATACTTCTAGTATTGGGCGAGTTACCAACGGATGGAGTTACCTTCCGGGTGTAATATGGCTCGAGTTCTCGAAAGTGCACATCCATGCTCACAAATAACCTTTTCTCCACCGGGCTCCAGCAAACATATCCCTTCTGAGTAGCAGAATATCCCACAAAGATGCACTTCACAGCTCTAAGGGCAAGCTTCCCGACGGATGGCCTGTTGTCCTTCACAAAGCACACACAGCCAAACACTTCAAGTGGAAGAATCCCACCATTATCTCCCTTCAACGTCTCACACGGAGACTTCCAATCCAGTACTCTCGAGGGCATTCTGTTTATCAGCGCTGCTGCGGTCAATATTGTTTGCCCCCATAATGTTTTTGGGATATTCATAGAGATCATCATGCTTCTAGCAACCTCTAAAAGATGTCTGTTCTTCCTTTCCGCTACTCCATTCTGAGCTGGTGTGTATGGACATGTTGTCTGGTGCTGTATTTTCTGAGCTGATAAATATTCTTCAAGCGTTCTGTTGGTATATTCTGTCCCATTATCCGACCTCAATACCTTCACCACTGTTCCGTATTGAGTCTGAACATTTCTATGAAAGTTTTGGAAGCAACCAAACACTTTACTCTTATTTTTCATCAGGTATAACCAAGTAACACGAGAGAAATAATCAATAAATGTAACAAAATACTTGTATCCATTCATAGAACTTGTGGAACAAGACCCTCAAACATCTGAATGTACCAAGTCAAATGTATAAGAACTTCTATGACCAGAACTAACATAAGAGCTTCTAGTAAGCTTTCCAAACTCACATGCATCACACACAAGTTTCTGTTTATTTGCTTTCTCAAATAAAGATTGATACAATCTACTTAAAACACTAAAGGATGAGTGTCCCAAACGCTGGTGATGAAGCATTAACTCACTCTCAGCACTCATTTTAGATCCTACTCCTGCTTTCTTTACGATTGACACCAACGCTGAATCCAGCGCTTCACGATCCAGATACCACAATCCACTACGCCATGTGTCAGTTCTAAGGCTTCGTCCTATCCCTTTCTCCTGGAAAATCACCTTGGGAATATCAAAAGAAACAATGCATTTTAGTTGGAGGATGATAGCACTAATGGACAAAAGATTGACTGGAAAGGAAGGAGCATGTAAAACATTGGACAAAGTTACAGAACCAGTACAATTGACTGTACCCTTACCAACCACCGACTGAAATGTACCATCAGTTGTTTGAATACTATCAGGCGATGCTAGGTGAGTATATGATGAGAACTTACTAACATTACCTGTCACATATCGAGACGCACCGGAGTCGACTATCCATTCTGATGATCTGTCGGGAGACATAGAAGTAAGAGCATGTATGTCATCAGTACCTTTGGTCGGATGAGCATAGGTAGCAGTGTTGCCTCTGGCGAAGAAAGAAGTGGATGCCTCCTCAGTCCCACTCCTCAAGTTTCCATCCCTGCTACTTTCTGCTTCCTCCTGAGTATCGCCAGGAGAGCATGATCCTCCTCAGTAAAGACCACCTCAGCTTCTTCTTCTCCTTCTGTTACCATCAGATTCGCCTGGTTGCCTGCTCCTCTTCCACCTCGTCGACCCCCACGGACCACGGTCACGACCACGACCTCCGAACTGTCCACGTCCATCTGAATCTCCTTCCTTGGGTGGCTTGGTGCAAGCATGCCTTAGATGACCCACTGCACCGCAGTTGTAGCACTGTCGAGTCTCTCCCCTGGATCCAGTGTTGCTAGAGGCTGCCAGTGCTGATTTCACCACAGGAAGTCCACCTGTCTCCGTCTGCAGCCGAATGCGAGTCTCCTCCTGGATCATAGCAGAGACAGCCTCCTCAAGCGTGGGAATCTTCGGCTGAGCTAGCAGCAATGCAATTCGCTGAACGAACTCTGATGTCAATCCCTTGAGAAACACCATAGTCCTCTCCTGTAGAAAGGCATCCCGTTCTTTACATCCCGGGTCCTTGCAGCTCGTCCGAGGTGAGAAGTGATCATAATCTAGCCACAGCCGCTCCAGCTCTGTGGCATACTCCTGTACAGTCCTATCTCCCTGGACTGTGGCGTCGATCTCTCCCTTAATCTGGAACACCCTCAGGTTATTCCCCACTCCATCATAGGTCCTCCTTAACTTTTCCCAAACGTCCTTCACCTTCTCAATGCCATCCACTGTGGCGGTGATCGACTGGATCAACGAGTTGAGGAGCCAGATGTACACCAACATATGAGTGGACTTCCACTCATCTCTTCCCTCCGAGTCCTTATCCGACTGTCATCTCTCCTGTCAAGTAACCCTCCAGGTTCGTCCCTGCAAAGGTGTATCTCACCCGTCGCGACCAGCTCAGGTAAGTACTCGGTCCATCAAGCTTCAGATTGATGGTCGGAAGCTTCAACTTCTTCGATGGTTTTGTTCAGGTAAGTCCTCGGTCCATCAAGCTTCAGATTGATGGTCGGAAGCTTCAACTTCTTCGATGGTTTTGTCGCGCTCTCACCAGCCGACAACTTCATCAAATTTGACACCTCCGCGGGGTTCAACTTCTTGATGATCTCCTCCATCGATCAGGCTTCAGACCCAACACCTGTTCACCTTCTCTTCCGACCATTGTTGTGTGCAGTGAAAATTTCGGCAGCATCTCTGCTGCACAACAAGAGTAAGATCTCAAACAAATTCTCGTTTCTTAGAGGAAACAAGAATAAAAAACAGTGATATATCTCATCGCTGTGAGATATATACTCTTTCTGTCATCAGTTCGAGGACTGAATCGAGGGAATCCATGCCAAACTCTAGGTTCGGCATAGCGCAGCAAGGGGGGGGTTTCGGCCAAGAAGTGGTTGGTGTTCGGTCAAAGGGGTGGGTGGGTGGGGGGGTTGGTAGCAGCGAAGGGAGGGGGTGTGTTTGTCGGGTCTGAGGGGTTTTTGTCGGGGTGTGTTTGTGGGGGGGGGGGGGGGTTCCGTCGGGGTTTGAGGAGGTCGGAGGGGTCTGAGGGGGGTGGTTGGGGGGGGGGTTTCGGCCCGGAAAAACAGAGGAGGGGGGGGTGTTTTGCTTGACAACGAGAGAGGGGGGGGGGGGTCGGCCCGAAAACAGAGGGGAGGTTTTCGTGTGGTAGAAGAAGGGGGGGGACGGCGGCTAGGGTTAGCTCTGATACCAAAAAGAATTGAAACCCTAATTCATTGCTGTGATAACTTGGGCTTATATAGGCTGCTACAAAACACAACTTACAAATAAGTCCCTATATATTACTAATATGTCAACAGATAACAGCAAGAGACGTATAATCATCTTCGCACTTATTATCTCCTGTCATCCATCTTCTATAAGATGTCTCTAAAGAACAACCAAAAAGGATCCTTCTTGCTATATCTTCTGGGAAGGTTATCATGGTATAACCGAATTAAACAAAGCAGAGGACTGAGTTAGGGGCACTTGATTCTGGTTTGATATTTGGCTGCTGTACAAATAGATGGCTTCATTTCAGGAAGCTGCTAATACAGCCATGTTGCTGCTTTAGAGATTAGCTAGTGGCTTTTAAACTCTTTCCAAGGGTTTAAAAGATTTTGAGAAGATACAATCACTACCATATTTCAGGGGTCTTTTTAAAGCACTGAGACTTGTGCAGTTTGAGAGGGAGAAAGAAGTTAAGGGTTATCATATCTTAAACCCAGGTTTAAAGAGGCAACACCCTTTCCCCCCTTGTGGAAAATGAGATTGCTCCTGTTTTATTCTTTTCATTTAGCATAGATCATAAGGATGTAGTTTAGACAAGTACATTTCAGAATCCAGCTGAAATTCCTTTTCTAGTGACTAGTGTACATGGATGAATATATGGATGAGGCAAGATGGCATGGATTATTCTCATGATGTATTGTGCAGTCTTTTACTATTGTTTTCTTCCTAATACATTAATGATTACATATCACATTGAGCCTATTCAAAATTATTTCATTTCACTGAAATGAAGGCAGGTGAGAACTATGCTCGATCCAATTTTATCAGAAGATGCAGTTATGATGCCTTGTAAAGGAATCTTGAAAGCCTGTGCTATGTCTCTTCCAGTGAGTATTATTCTGCGTCTCCATTTCTCCATTCGTTAGCTTGCCTGGAGTCCTTGGCCATTTATTTACATTCTGCTATTTACTTAACCAGGACTTATGGAAAAGCCGTTGCTGCCTCAAAAAGATCGAAGGCTTTGACCATTCAGTTGTCAGTGAGATTTTGGGAGCCTGTGGGGAATTACCTCCTTTGCAGGAAGGTCCTTGCCTTCCTTATTTTATTTGGCAGTGTGGTGAGATAAAGGTAATGTCACCAAATTTAATTGGAGAATTAGTTTTAGTTAGATATTCACTCAATTTATGCTGCATTATCCAAGTCTATAACATTTAATGAGGAAGTATCATTCAATATTTATACGACAGGAACTCAGTGAGGTCTTCTCAATCATGGATTTTAATTTCTCAGAAATGATTCATGCATGCTATGGGAAGAAAAAGGTAACTCTTTTTTTTTAATTGGATGGAATAAAAAAAAGGTAACTCTTATCATCTCTCTTTACATAGTCTTTAAATATTTGTTCTTTGTGTTTACACTACATATTTTGAATTAAATGTATGTCTATTAACTGCTAGCAGTTCACTTCTCTGTATATTATGCCATCAGATTTCCTAGAGTTTGTTTACAATATTCTGCTTTGATATGCAATTTACATATTCTGGGTTATTCACATAAAAAAGAATGCTGCTTTAAGATATTAACGATTTTACAAGAACTTTGGACTGCTCCACTTTGGCATTGATATTTGTTGCGTTAAATGTGCTAGACACCAGGATTGTATCTGTTGTTATCTTTACAATTTGTTCACAAGAAAAAATCTGATTATGTTATGAGTTTCCAACGAAGATAGCATGGAATAAATTGTATGCTCAGTATACTATCAGAAGTATTAAGATTTTTTTTTCCGTTCTACAAGACATTGTGTTTTTGAATCATTAATACTATTGGTGTAATAAGATATCTTTTGCTATCGTTGTAGCTCGCTTTATCGTTGTAGGGTTCAGTTTATGACAAAAACATATTGTGAAGAAAAAGGGTATCTTATATATTATACATGAGGTATAAAACATATTGACGACCAAGAAATACCTAGGAGTAATCATTTTGGTTATTTAGAATCAATTATTAGTCATGATAGCGAGTATGAGGAGGATGTGTTCATTGAATCAAATTAGGATGGTCAAAGGGGAGGAGTGCCTTGGGAGTCTTGCATGATCATATAATTTCACTACAATTGAAGGAAAAATTCTATAGGACGGTTATAAGACTGTCAATGCATTATGAATCAGAATGTTGGGAAACTAAAAATGTGAGCAAAACATGTGTAGCAGAATGAGAATGTTCCAGTGGACGATTGGATATACAATAAGAGATAGAAAAAGAAATGACAGCATTAATAGTAAGTTGGAGGTTGTAGCATAAAATGGCCAGAATTGTTTAAGATGGTTTGTATGTGCAAAGAAGGCCATTAGTTGCACCACGTAGGAGGGCCAATAAGATTATACTTAATGGAAAAAGGACTAGAGGTACGCCTAAGAGAATTTGGGTAGAAACTATTAAAAAAGATATAATAATGCTTAACTTAGTGGAAGAGGTATCCTTCAATAGAATGAAAGAGTAGGATTAATATAGTCAATCCCAAAAATTTAGGATAAAATCCATAAAAAAAAGATTAAAAACTTTGTTGTTGTTGTAGGGTTCTATTTATAAAATGTTTTTAGATATTCTTCTTTTAGAGGCTTGAGTTCGGTTTGTGGGTTTGTGAATGATTGGTCCCAAATTAAGAGGACAATTTGAGGCTCAAACTTGGTTCTTTAGTTTGGAGGAGTTTTTTAATCTTTAATATGGAGGACATTATCTAAAATATGTATGTTTTAGAGAGTAGATCTAATTAAGCTTGATGGTTGTTATCTATCTTTATTTTTTTAAAATGAAAGTTTATAACAAAAAGTCTTAAAAGAACTATAAACCAGTGAACTTGATTCACATCTAGCCAAGATTAATAGAAAACATGTTAAAAGAATATTCGTTCACTTTTTTACATCTCCTCATCTTAAACAAAATATGAAAAATTATCCTAGAAAATCAAAATAAAAAAAATTGATTCACCTAACAAAATCCTAAGTATCCTAAATGTCTCTATCTCCTTATTGTAAACAAATCCAAAATATGTAATGAAAAAATCAGAAAATAATTAGGAAAATTTGCTCCACCCCCATGATAAAAGAACCAAGCCTCCATCCACTTTGACTTTTTCATCATGTTGATTCCTTCGGATCCCAAAAGTAAGGAAAACCCCATGTCCCACTGCATACGCTATGTGTAAAAAATCCCATGCTACCCTTTTCCAAAAATTTCCAAATCTGATGACAAAAACAAAATTACAAGTGTAATCTCTTCGATTTTATATATTGGAGGCGTAATTCTGGAGGAAAAACATGATATTATCCCTCTTAATTCTTTACGTAAAAGTAACATTTTTCACCTCTTATCTAGAACATCTCTTGTCACTATTTTTTTTTGAACATCTTAATGACAAATAACGAGATTTAATGTGCAATTACCTCTAAAGAAAATGCTACTTTGAGTAAAATTAGGGTAAAAATAAGTCATCAATGTATTCTTTGGTTTGGTTAAGACTCTTCATTACCATGCATATGACAAGGGATCTATATTTGGTTTGTTGTTTCTTAGACTTGGCTGAGAATAACATTGCATGGAGGGAGGGAGGGAGGAGGGACGAAAGAGACTCAAGTTTTGCTCCGTAGACCATTGCCATGATTTTGTTGTTGAGATGATTTTCAATTTGGTTTGAAGGAAGCTCCAACAGAAACTAGTTCTCTCAAGGGTGTAGTACGGACTTGTTAGAGAATAGAAGCTCCGATGATAATGCTAAGTCTTATGAATGATTTGAACCTTTTAGACAAGAAAAGCTCTAATAAGGATGCTAATGGTTTTAGGTCAAAAGCCAAGCTCCAATGGATGAAGCTAAAAAGAGGCAAAAGCAAATTCCAATAGGTAGGGCTAAAATTGATTAACAATTTGGGGGAAAAAGATCCAGGATTTTAGCCAACAGAAGAGCAAAAATCCAGCCACAATGCCAAAAATTCGAGCCCCTTTTACAATATTGAAGGGTCTGCATTTTTAGATTGGAATGACTTGGATGATACGGGGTTAGATTGACGTGGGTCCATGCTTAGTCAAAAAGCACTGATTGCTGTGAAGAAGATTGCAGCCAATCATTATCGTTAAGACAGTAAAATGTGGGAGGGAGTATGAGGGCTAGTTAGGTTAGCATGGGCCCTTATTAAGACAGCAAAGTGTGATTCATCTCAAGTTCTTTCTCATTCATAGTCAAATGTTTTAAATATCGGTTATTGGAGATTTATCAGACGATCAAAATCTATATCGGATAGCGGATATCAGGTATATATCGGGGATAAGTAGTATTTATCGGAGTGATATTACCGGATACTGATATACATAATATAATATTCTAAAATGTAATCTAATCATACTTAATGAAATGTAAACATTTCAAAATGTAAATAATTATGTTTGGGATCACTAACCAATGATAGAAACTTGGGTCGGGTTGGGGTTAAAGTGCATTGAATAGGTGTCCATTGCCCAAAATAAAAATTCGAACCAAATGTCGGTAATTCCAATTTTTAGGCTGACAATATCGGCCGATAACTTACTTTATCGCCGCATTATTGGCGATAAAGATCCAAAAATGATAATCGATTTAGAATCAAACTTATGATAGCGGAAGGCCTCCAAAATTGATAAATCGCCAATTATATCGGTTTATCGGTTGATATTTAAAACATTATTCACGGTTTTCTGTTATTTTCTTAAAGATTCATAGAGGAAACTATTTAAAAAATTCATTTTCTTTTTTATGCATTTGTTTAATATCCTTTTTGTTTTATGATTGCATATTTCAAAAATACCATAGATAATCACCTAAAAATTTGTTGAGAAAATTTCTCCTAGGACCATCCCTACTCCGGGTGCGCAATGAATTTTATTAGCAGGGTTCCCTAAATTATATAAATATAAAACATCAAACTTTTTTATTACTGTTCACATATATTTTACAAGACATGGTTCTCTTTCTCAAGCACTATTTAAAGATAATTATTTATTTCTTTGTAGCTGTTCTCTCTTTATACTTCTAGTTAATCTGGAAAAGATGGTTTAATAAATAGGTGAGCTACACTAGACTAGTGCGATTACCAACAAGCGTATTTGAAGTCAATACAAAAAAATAATTTTAAGTCCATTAAATGATAGAAAGGTGACGATAATGCATGAAATGTAATTTTCTCAATAACCATGTTATGTGGCGATATCACCCTATGTCCCCATTAACGATAAAATAATGACAATAACAATAACAATTTGTGGTTTATGCCTTACATAAGCCCAACATATGCTGATCAACCAATTTTCCTATTTAACACTCATGGCTCTTTTTTAATGTTACCAGTCAATAAGTGTGACACTAAGGTTTTAAACAACATGTATAGACTGATTGACTAGTGAGTCAATGAATCTAAAAAAAAGTTTGTCTAAAACTAAAAATTATTACCTTAATAATTTGTTTAGAACTTTAGATTTCTTTTTTTTGACATTTCAAAGCTTAGGCGCAAAGTTAAAGTATAATTAGAGATCCCAATGACCCGTTCATGAAATTCAAATCATCGGCATTTAAAAACTTATATAATAAGATTTAAAACGTGGATATAGCAAGACTTCAATAGTGAAAAAAAAAAGATTATGAGAAGTAATAGCCATTAGTTTATACAAGTTTCTTGACATAGCAAAACATTATGGAACATGTAGAGAAATAAGGTATACAATTGTTTCCCCAAAAACACTTATATACCCCAAGTTTCAAAACAGAGCAAAAAATACCCTTAGTTGTTCGCCGTGTGAATTTTTTAACAACATTAAATTTTACTTGAAAAAACAGTAATGCCCTTCTTAATTAACCCTCCCATGGTAAAAAAAAAATCCCCAGCCTATACTGTTACCACCAAGTTTCCTCATATTCTCAATGTAAGAATAGCCAAAATTTGTATTACATCGACATGCCATAGAATGTAATTGACCATTTGCATCTAAAATTAATACATCAACTAGAAGGCAAAAAACATAACATGCATAAGCAATTTCAACTAAGTTTGGTGACAATTACGAAACAAAATACTACAATTAAAACACCAAATGCCCAAAAATACTTCAATTTTTCTTCTTTGTCTCTCAAACTAATCAGTCTCATATTTCCTCACCTCTCTTTCTCTACCTCTTAGATAATCTCCATTCTCAATTAACTTCTCTCTAATCTTCAATTTCAACATTTTTTTTCTCTCAATTCATCCTCCAAATATCTATCCCCAACTTGAGTATTCACTCTTTTATGAACATCTGT